CCTAGATATGCTAACTGTTGACGCAACTGTGAGTCATCATTATGGTTAAATGAATTAAAGAGATATTTTAAGTAAATGTATATGAAATGAATTTTTATTTCTTCAAGATTGAGGAAAAATATATACTGTTTCTTCAACAAAATTATTCTCCACTGAATATATAACTTTTTTCAGGTAATTGAAGTTTACCATATAAACATTATACTATCTAAATTAACAGTACATTTTTTGAAAGTGAATTTTTTAAAATGCATTGCACATTTTTCTTTATTTTTTAGCAACTGATATTTATCCTAGTTTCAAAATGACACACATTTTGAATTTGTGCACATGCTCTTTTACCTTTTATTCCTTTTTTCTTTTTGGATGTCATAAGTCACTGCTTTTAACCCTCCTTCTAGCTGTACCCTGCCTATGAAGATTTCAGTCTATTGAATCTGAAAAAATAGACAGTTAAATTTTTTAGATCTTGTATAAATGATCAGTAAAGAGGTCTGAGTGAAGATTTAGCAGACCTTGCCTTAAGCTAACAGACTTCATGCATCTGACTTCAAGTAAAAGTTGGAAAATCATCACTAAAACTGTAAAGAAAATTCAAGCACTGGATTGAAAGTGGAGAAGTTTGAGTTTAGGTTATTTCTGGTATTATTTCCAGAGAGATTTTATAGAGCCATTTTGTCAGTTTTTTAGGGTCTCAAACATGTTCATTCATGTTAAATTAAATTATGGGATTTAGGTTTTACAATTCTTATTAGAGTATATGACTAAAATGAAGGATTTAGTATAATATAATTATATGTATAATACATAAATTATATGTATAATATAATTTGACATTTGAACAGATTTATTTTGAGAACAAAAAGTAATGCTATTAGTAATTATGTTAGGACAGTAGGTATTAACTGAGACTCTCTGTGGCTAACCAGGACAAACATATATTCAAGACCTCTAAATATGACATGTATTTTTAAAGGGCCCCAAATATCTTTATTTTTAAGTGAATTTTAAATATTTTTATTTAATTTATTCACTTTTAAAAATATAATTGTTTTATTTTTGGCTTCTAAGACATTTGTTCTAATTCCCTAAAATTGGCAAAAAGTGAAGCAAATAATTAATATTACATTTCTCCCTTTGGTCTTCTATCTTATATTCATAAAAAGAAGTCACAAATCTTTTTTTACATCTCAGCTCACAGCTTACGGTTAGTCTTTTTATATAAATAAAAGCAGTAGTTAGAGAGGGAAAACTAGATAGAATATTTTTTTCCTTGTGGAAACACTTTTGGAGTCTTTGTTGTTTATTTTAATGCTTCAAAATAATTTCAAGGCTTCTTTGAAGGCTTAAAAAAAGGCTTTGTGATATTCCTTTGGAATACCACTTAGTAGGTGCCAAAACATATTTAGCAGGTGGTAGCTAATTTTCATTTTAATGAAGCTAATCTTTTCAGACTAGGATAACATAAGGTTTTACCATCTGTGTGTATCCTATTTAGTTTACCCAGGTTGGAGAAATCTAAAAGAAGGTCCGTGAAACAAAATGCTAGATGTTGTTCAACACCAGCCTTAACTACCTGAAAGCACTACTATTTTAAACCTAACAATACATATATAAGGATTACAAATGTTAATATATGAGCCTACAGTTTTTTCCAAATTGTATCCTTATAATTCAGATTGCATAATCTTTCAGAGCATTACGTGGGGATGTCTTTTCTTAACATAAGAAAGACACTGAAAATCTAGCTGAGAATTTTTCTCAGAGGAGAAATGCTAAAAGCATGTTTCAAGAGCCAGAGATGTACAAAGAATTTTCACTTCTTAACCTTTCTGTCTCTTGTACATCATCACTGATTACTTCCTTACACAAGCTTTGTTTCCAGTTTTGCTTCTAGTACATGCTTGGATGTTCCCCCTTGGCTTCTATTGCACTGCTTACAAAACAAGTACCTTTTCCCTTTATGTTTGTATACAAATTTAGCACATATTGCTTTTACAAAATTATGGAAAGTGGTTATAGGATATGTTCATTTTGTTTTTTATTTCAGGAAATGAAAAATTGTCATTGCTTTTAAAAAGTCACTTCTTAAATCTTATGATGCATACATAATAAATACAACTACAAATATTCACTACATACTATTAGCAAACTTTAAAAAGGGTTCAGAGTATCATGTGCTCAATGAGAATCAAAAACTAAACTAAAAGAAGATAAATATTTTATGGCTCAAAATCAAATGAGAGATATACAAGGGAAGAGGGAAGAGGGAAGGCAATAAGAAAAGAGGAGAGAGGAGATTTTTAGGTAAGATGAAGAGAGGAAGAAGGAATCCTACATTTGCATGAATGTTGTAGTTATTGCTGCTTTTAAGTAGTCTTACAAAGTAATAGAACGTTGATGTTATTGGAAATAAAGAACTAGCATATTAAATGGGACCAAAGGCAATTCATAGCTGGATTATAAAATAGGGTAAATTTCAGGAACCTATTTAGAAGAAAGCACTGATTTATTAGAAATGATGAAGACTTTGGGCATTCAGGGCGTATATGTATTAATACCAATTATGTACCAGTTTAGGGCAATCAAGTATATATGTAGCAATTAAAAGCATATATGTATATGTGTATATATATATGTATATACCAATTATGTTTAAAAACAAAGATAAAAAATGATTATGTGAAATATAAATTTGCTAAGTACATGAAAATAATAAAATTAATATTAGAAGATAATTTGTTTTTCAAAATAATTCCCTGAATATGTTTTTAAAGAGTTGTTGTAATGTATTTAATTGATTAAAATATTAACTTCTTAATGGATAAACTAGGAATGAATAAATAAAACATGACAAGAATTAAAAGCTGTTTAAATTGTGAATCTATCAGGCACAAAGTTAAAACATCTTTGAGAATATTGTGCAAATTAATAGAGAAACATAATCCCATTGACAAGCAGCTGATACAGCCTGTATCAGTTCTGTAAATGCACAAATACATATTCCCTCAGATTTTTCCTCAGAAATAAAAACCAATCGATATATTCTATTATTTACCATGCATATATAATCTTTCTCATATAGTATGTACTATAAGTTATAAAAATTAATATTTATGAACATGCCCATGGCATATAGGATATGAACCAAGAACTTATTTAGGTTAAAGAAAAAAGTTATCAGAACTGTGACCATACCATTCTTCAATGTGTGGCCTCAGTAAAAACAAAATTAGGTTCATTAAAATCAAATCTAGGCCGGGCGCGGTGGCTCACGCCTGTAATCCTAGCTCTCTGGGAGGCCGAGGCGGGCGGATTGCTCAAGGTCAGGAGTTCAAAACCAGCCTGAGCAAGAGCGAGACCCCGTCTCTACTATAAATAGAAAGAAATTAATTGGCCAACTGATATATATATAAAAAATTAGCCGGGCATGGTGGCACATGCCTGTAGTCCCAGCTACTCGGGAGGCTGAGGCAGAAGGATCGCTCGAGCCCAGGAGTTTGAGGTTGCTGTGAGCTAGGCTGACGCCACGGCACTCACTCTAGCCTGGACAACAAAGCGAGACTCTGTCTCAAAAAAAAAAAAAAAAAATCAAATCTAGAGTCTATCTTAATATGAGTATTTTTCTTACTTTATTCAAATATTTAGTTTGAAGAACAAAGATATATTGTGGATATCTATACCACTTATTTTATTTATAATTTCCCTTTTTTCTTATTTTTGTTTAAGTTGCTATTTATTACATTTAGAACTTTATATTTGTTGTTTACTCCTTTCCTGACATTCATAATCAAACATATTTGAAAGGAAAATAGAAACTACTCCCTGCTCCACTAAAGTGTCTGATTCTCCAGAAGTTCATATTTGCTCTTTGGTGAGATTCCTCTACGATGTTTTTACTTCCCAGTTCTGCTGTCCATTTCCTCTACATAAATGTGTCCAAGCACTTTTAGATTCCTTTCTCTACTTCTTAGAATTTAATCAAACAATTTAATATTTTTTTCAATATTATTAATAGCTTTTACATTATAGACTATCTCCTCTATTTCAAGAATCATTATTCAGCACAAATAAAGTTCCAATGGAAGAAGCCATTCCTGAGAATTTTTTAAAAAATAGTATATGTATATAGGTGATAAAAATCTATGAATGTGTTTTTTTTTTTTTTGAGTTTGACAAATTTATTGGTATTTTAGTAAAGACATTCATCTCAGTCATTTCTCTCTCCCATCTTGACCTTAGGTTATATTTCATTTGGGTCAAGAAAAGAATATGTAGGAGAGGGATGTTATTTTAACAAACATTAAAATGGACAAAAATGGATAGTTTTCCTACATTAAAGTAATTTAAATTCAAGTATCTTGATAAAATTAAATCATGTAAGAACTAAGAGTTCTATATACATTTCCATTGTTTTACCTGGGGCTTATTCTAAACTTAAAAGCAAGTGAACAAAGTGTTAGGAATATACACAGGCTGCTTCTCTGGAGTTATTACCTATTAAAAGAGCTCAGCGAGTAGTTACCACCAATAAAATAGAATGAAGCTGCCTCCAAATTTTAACATTGCAGGACTTTTCAAGGGAATCATTATACTGTATGTTTCTTTTGTCTCTATGCTTTTAAAGATGTGTAACTGTCACATTAAAAAAAAGTTCATATACAATGCAAAAATACAAAAACAAACATCCTACAAACACACAAATCTAACAAAGTAAATGTGGTGAGAGATTCCATAAAATGTTTGAAGATGCATTTTCTTTCCTTCCATTTTCAGTACCTAAAATGTGCTTTTTGAAAGGCCATCATTGGTCAATATGTATATTCTTAAAATAAACCAGATAATTGTACTTGTAAGAAAGCCTGTAGTTAAGTTCAATTCAAATTGGATTTCACAAGTTAGTAACTTAAGTGTCTATATCCACTGATAGCAATGCAATACCTAGTTTATGTTGACTTGAAACAAAACAAATGCCCATAAGGAAAAAAAGCTGTATTTTAATTTTATCTAAATTTACTTTCAGTCAATAGTCCAGTAACATTTCCCTCCCAATACAACACTCCCTCTCTCTATAAGGCTGTTCCTGGGAGCCAGTTTAGGTAATGAGGGAGTTAAGAGGGTAACTGCTTGCAGTTTTAAATAGACAATAACTTTTTGCTTCCCTTTCAATGTGCTAATAGTTGTGTTTAAAAAAATATGCAATTCTTAAAAAGGTACCATTTCTGATTTCTTTATTATCTGTAACCTTTGGAAACTAATCACATGAAACTACAAAATTAGCAAATGTCTTGAAATCTGTATATAAAACATAAATTACCTCTAATTTCAAACTCTCATTTATTAGTGTACCACTCAATCTTAAAAAAAAATGAAAAAGAAAAAAAAAAAGCGGCTCCAAAGATAGTCTTATACCATTCTTTAAAAAAGGAAACTGTTCTTTTTAACTTTACACCCACCTTACACCCCAATTTCAAAACACATCATTTAATTGTCTTGGTCATGGACATTTCCAAGATGAGATTTTATATTTCGTTCCCACAGCTTCTGGTTATCAGAAACCCACGCTTTCCTTTATTGAAGGAGTTTGGTCCAGCTGATGTTGGTGTATCCCTTCCAATATTCTTCATCCTCATCTTTGCTTCTGGAGGCATTTCCTCTGGTTCACTATCTTTATCTTCATTAAAAGCCGCTGCTACTGAAAGAGTTTTTGGAGCAAGAGTTGGAACAGTTTCTTTAGGCTTACTTGATCCAAGTTTGATGGATATGGCTGATGCTTTCTTTGTTGTCTGACTACCTATGGCAAATCCAAACTTGGAGATCTTTGTAGGCTTTGTTGGGAGGTCTGCAGCTTCTTCTTCAGCTGATCTCTTCTCAGCGCTGCGACTGGAACTTTCCCCTCCATTACTCTGGCGGCTCCAGCTCGCTGCGACTTTTCAGGCTTCTCCTCTCCTGCCTTCCCGTCCGATATTTTCTGAATGTGTTTTTATATGTCCACACTTCTTTCTTATTCTGACAGATGATTGATATCTTTAATTCAAAATTGTAGATTGGAATCCCGTATTTTATTGATGTTATTTAGCTTCTATTATTGTGGATGAAAAGTTAATGACAATTTTCTCTTTGTTCTTTTTGGTTCAAATCCATCAGTCTTAAAGATTGCATGATTTTCTCTTTATGAGTTTCAGGTATTTTATTAGGATTTTATTTTTAGCTATGTTTCTTCTGTTAACATCATTTATTCAGCAACTTATCCTTATCTAGCTGCAAAGTTTTCAATGTCAGTATTGTTTTATAAATTCCTTATTTTTTTCTTCATAATTTTTAGTTTTGTACTTTATTCTATGTTTGAGATATTGCTTCCACTTGATCTTCTAGTACAATAATTAGGAGGTCAGTAGTGACATTTCTTTTCTCAGTTCACTTATTAAAGTTGGAAAATTTTTAAATCATGTTTTTTATACATTCCATGAAGATTAAATTTTAAAATGCCTTGTGTTTAAATGGACTTAAGTGAAATTTCTCTAAATCCTCTTGGTTTTTATTCAGATTGTCACCTGACTTCTTTAGCAACTGTTTCATTTGTATCTAATCTTCCAAAAGAAGCAGATACAAATGAAATAAATAAATATTCAAAATGAAATAAATACAAATACTAGTATGTTTTGTTTATTATTCCTGTTTTTGGCTGCCATTACTTTGCTCACCAATACTCTAATCTTGTTGTTGGGATGTTGTAAGCAGCTAAATCCTGAAATTGGTGAATAGCCTCTGGCATTGAAGAAATTCCAGCTGGCATGAAATCTCTCCTCTCCAGGAACCAGAAACAATCCTGCCTTCTTCCTTTTTTTCTCAGCTAGGAAGCTAGGGCTCTTGTAACCTCAGGAATATGAGGAAACAATGACCAACACCTGGTCTGGAAGCTCCTCTGGGGCCATCAAAACCACTAGATCTTATGGGTGAAGGTTTCTTAAATAAGTATCCTTTTTAATCCACCAGGCTCTCCCAGTATTAAACAGGCCACCAGAACTCCTTTTCCTTTTGAGGATTCATTCATATCCCATTTTATGCCCCTGATCTTTATAGCTCTGTTTCTCATTCTTTCGTTATGACAGAAAATTATATACCATTTTTCTGAATACCAATACAAACCTTCAGCCTGTCTCAGATGGTCCAGCTCTGCCTGCCACCTCCTGAAGATTCTTCTCTCAGGAGGGGTGTTGGCTAATTGAATTAGATTAGGAAGAAAGGGCAGTAGGAATGCATTCAGGAACTCCCTATGATTTGTTTTCAGAAGTATATTTTAATTGACAGTAATTACTGTCAGTGGCAGTAATTGAATGATACAGGGGTAGCCAACTATTGCATGGCAAAGAATGAAGTGTGTGCTGGCCAGAGCATCTGGGAAGTGGTAGGTTGTACCAGCATTTCAATTCTGCACTTGTTGAACACTTAAAGTATGTTCTAGGCACTTTATCAAGCTGGTCTATGAGATGATATTATGAATAAGACAAGGATACTGCTTTTGATGTGATCACAATATAGGATTGCCACAGGAGGCATGAAGGCAATGGTGAACATGTCAACTTGTAGGGAATTCCACCTATATATGTAGCCTTTATCAAGAGAAATGCTTTCGGAGTAAAGGAAAATGTCACAGCAGCATCATTTCACTGTGCCTTCTCCCTCTAGTACCAAAAGCCTGCAAGCTCTTAAGTACCCTCTCGGAAGCAGATGTCCCTTCAAGCATCAGTGAACAAATCATACTAGAGGTCTCCGCCCTTACCCTATGTGCCCTTCTGGTTGCTCAGCTCTCAAACCAGCATCTACTAGGTTGCAATCTACTAATTAGTCACAATGGAATCATTGTGAGTCCATATTCTCAACAGTGTTTAAAATTTCTTTTAACTACACTTTTAAAATTTTGTCTTAAGCAATAAGTGATTGTTTACATATATTTCCAATTGTGATTCATATGACAGTGAAGACAAAAAAAATAATCAGAAGACATATGGAGGGGGGGAGGAGGGTATGGGCATATACACACCTAAAGGGTACAGTGCTTGGGGGATGGACACATTGGAAGTTCTGACTCAGGTGGGGCAAACACAATATATGTAACCTAAACATTTGTAACCCTGTAATATGCTGAAATAAAACAAAAAGCGGAATATGCAACAGTCTGATGACTGTGTTTCTAGATGTAGGCCTAGAATATTTTCACAGCTTAAATTTTTATACTTATTTTCATTCTTGAATCATAGCACAGTTTTTTTCTCTTCTTTATGTGATTTCTAAGCACAACAGCTTAACTAACATAGGTATCTCCTTTTATTCCTTTGCATATTGGCTGTTGTCAGAATTATAAATTAAATGGTCAATGTTTCTTTACTTAAAAAAATACCAATTTAGTTAAAAACCATATGATGATACTGTTACCACAAAGTGAGCAAGTATTTAACATTTTTTAAAAATGTATTTCTATGCAGTTTTTTTAAAATTTCCATTTCTACCTTATAAATTCAATCGATGTTAGAAAGATGACCTTTTCTACTTATGTAAAAATTGCATGTAAACTAAAAGTTATATTAAAATGTGTCATTCACTAATTCTAATATCAAATATTCCATCACTATTAGAGGTTACAAAGCAAATTTTCTTGAAAACTTCAGATGATTTCAACTCTAGTTAAATATGTTGCCACAGAAAAAGAAAATCAAAGGAGTAAATAGAAAAGGAGCTAATGAAATTATTTTGATGTTACAAGATAGTTTTGTTAAATGTAATGTACATACATACACCTACCTGATACATAGAAAAATGTTTTAAGTAAGAAGGTTGATCTTAAAGGATACAGTTATAAGTATTTTAAAGGGAGAATTAAATTTTAATACAAGGATATATATTACCTACCCAGACTTCTTAGAAATCTACTAAGCAGAAGTGGTAGTATAATTTTGCAAATATTGGCAATGATCTAATGCTATATGATTTTCAGAAGGAAAGATGAAGAGGTGAGTCTTCTTATTACAGGTGGTTTTAAAATGGATTCTTTGAAATGTGGATACCTTGATCTCATCATTTTATTTAAACACTTTCTCCTTCGCAAACTCAGAAGGCATTGCACTAATTATGTATATGCTATATAGAAGCTGAGAATGTGTAGACAAAGAATATCTCCTATTCTCATAACACTAACTTCTAAAAAAACATTTCCACTTGAATTTCAGGGATTGAAATTTTAAGTAAAGTGTAGCTTATTTTTGCTTTCCAAATCTTCGGTAAAATAAATTTACTAAGTGCATTTTATAATTAAGTTATTAAGATTTTTATATTGGCATTGGAACTGACTTCATTTCACAGAGAGATACAACCAAATCCAAGTTAGACTAGAATTTATGGTCTTATCCAAATCCTTTGATTTCATTATCAACTTTTAAGAAATTTCTTAAAAAAAATTTCCAATGTTATATGAAGTATATTATAATATATCAGAAACTTATTTCCAAGATCATTATACCTGTATTTCTCAATCCAGTGCATCCTTCAGTGGTCTGCTTAAATACGAGTGCCTCTTTAAAATGCTGTCTGATGCTAAATCCCAGAAGCAGAATGATTTCTTCCCATTGAACATACTAGCACTATATGTTTTCTTTTCTTATAACACATATAGCTATGACTTAATGCTAAGAATTATTTTTCCTACTTTATAAAGATAGGATAAACCTAAAGGGAAACTTTTACTACTTAATAAAATGCCCATGGGTCGCTTAAGGATCTATTATAGAACAATCATGAATATTTATTGAGCTCAATGCGGTAGAAGGTACAGAGCTAGGAAGAACTGTAGGTATTCAAGAAATGTAAACCACTCTTTTTGATCTCAAGATAATAATAGTCTAGTTGAAGAGATAAGAAATAAAGGAATAAAATCATGAAAATAGCAATAAGAGATTTATGTATCAGTTCAGGACCAGAAATGCATAGTACATGAATAATTTTTAAGTGCATTAAGCAGACTGTAATTGCAGTATAACTTAATAGGAAGGAAAAATCACAAGCGGATGCTGTTGTTGAGAGGTGATTTTTGTGATCAAAATCTTTTGTAAAAGATCAGAAAAATAACTACTATGAGTAACATGTGCCTACCCAAATAGAAGAGGAAAGGATTTTCTTTGTGTTTGGAATAATGTAAGTAAAAATCACAGAGATGTGCATTTGAGTCACTGTGAAAGATCCATTCCATGAGATAAGACTATAAAAGAAAAGTTGTCAGAATGGGAGAAAAAGCTAAATTCCTAGGGATCTCGTTGTCATGGGAATGTTACGTGACAGGACAGGGTGCTAAGTAACCTTTGAAATAGAATTCAGAGCGGTGATGGTGAAGAGACAGCCTGTAGGAAAGACATCAAAACTGTAGACTTTTTGCAGGAATATGTTGAAGTTGGACTCAGAAGAGAAAGGCCCAATTGTGTTTGGACCTCCTAATCCTAATAAATAATGTAATTGTCCCACGTCAAAGGAAGTTAATAGCAGGTATTTTTCTTTCATAAGCTTTTGTAGCAGTTGTTGAGGTAATTTTGTTTCTAATAAGATGAAGTCTCTCCAACTTGAAAAGCTCTTGGTAATATGGTTAGTGGTAGATCATGAATATTTGGCAGGCGGTTTGAGAAAATCTTATGAGAAAAACAGATAGGTTCTTGAAATAATCATGCTGGCTTGCATCCAAAGGTTCATTAAAATAGTACCTTTCCTCTCTTTCTTTCTTTCTTTCGTTTTTTTTGGCTGGAATTTATCTAGCCATCAAAGTAGAAAAAAATAAGTTTCATTTTAGAGTAGCAAAAATATTGGTGCATATACATGAGCCAATAATATTCAGGCTTTTTTTCCAACATGAATATTTATAATGGAGAATAAAGGCAATAAAATTGTCCTCGTTTTAAATCCTAACACTAGTAAAACTGATAATAACAG